AGAGACAAAGAGTGGAAACGAAAAAAAAGCCCCGCATTCCAGTGCGTCATGCCTTGACGCTTGAATCCTTAACAGATATGGTTGAAGACTCATCATGAATGCGAAGATATCCCGCGTAGTGGGATATGATGCAACCAGTCATGTAAGGAGAATGAAGGTTTTGTAATCCCAAAAGACTGTCCACGGGTGTTTTGAGTGCAAGGGATATGGGTCAGGTACGTGTCCTTGTCCTTGTTCCCAGAGGCGTCAGCCCTGGGGCCCTGGGGTTGGTCATGGTGGCTGTGTTAAGAGACGTTAGTACCTAGGTAGACTAGGCTTTATCTGTCAACTAGCTTGAAGAACCACAGGCTGCTTTCTGGATCTTCAAGGTGTTCGTGTTCGCCAAGCATCCAGAAGCATTATGGTAGAAGAACCGTGTTCGGCATGGTGGTGCATAATAAGGTCATCACTTCTAGGGTAATAGTCGAGTAGTATCAGTCACTACACAATCGAGGTATGACCAAGTAACAATCAGAGAAACCTTGTGTCGTTGCTTCAAGGTCGATGTAAACACGTTAGTTAAGACTATTGGTCAGACCGTTTTATCGCCTGAGGCATCAACTTTTCTTTCGCGCCACTCCGGAGTACCTGTTCAAGCCATCCTTGCCAACTTGCCAGCAACAGTATCTTTTCCATCACTTCAACAACTTATGTTTAATTGTGTGGAATCTACATTCTATATGCTATCATTTCCCCCCTAATTTCCGCTGATCATTGAAACGCGATTCAAGTTTAGTTTGTCGCGTGCGCGTCCCCTTCTCGCGTCCGATGCTTAATCGCCCATTCTAAGGCACCCGCCACCCCAGTAAAACCATGGCCGACATGATGGAAGAGGACCCGTCATCTGGGCTTCAATCAGAGGAAGAGGAGATGCCCGTGGAGACTTTGGTCAGAGGGCGCGCAAAACGAAGTACCGCCGGGCAGCACATGTCTGCCCTCCTTGAAGCCGCCGCCGATGATGACTTGGCGCTTCTCTTTGAGGAAGTCGAAGACGATAACGAGTTTGCGGATGAGGTAGACCCTGACGCAGAGGATGAGTTGCTGGAATCGTCGGACGAGGATGAAGACCAAGGACCGAACGCGCAGAACGACTATGAGGGCGAACAGAAACTACAAAAAGAGGAGCGGAAGAAGCGCAGAGCCCAGAATGACCTCCGGTTCCAGACCTTGCGCAAACGAGTCAAGATCGATCCGACCGCCCCATCCGCCATGCCCGCCGCTCCTCGTCCGAAGAAGAAGTCAGAGCGCATCTCCTGGATTCCCACGGTGGAGGATGGGCCTACTCGGCAATCATCGCGTCGGCAGACCATGGTCAACAAGGAGCTTACGCATGCTCGTCTCAAGGATAGCCAGGAGAAACGAGTCCGCATTATTGCTACAATGAAGGAGGCAGAGAAGCGGAAGGCCCATTTGAAACCGAAGGAGATGACCCAGGAAGATCATCTTGCGGAGGCTGCAAGAGTGGAACGTCTTAATAGCAAAAGCTTGAACCGCTGGGAGCTGTCGGAAAAAAGGAAAGCGGACGAAAGACGAGCGAGGATTGAAGCACTACAAAATCGCCGTCTTGATGGTCCGGTGATTTCCTACTGGAGTGGTGTGGCTACGTGGACAAACGGGCGTCTCACTCGAGTGGGCAAAATCGACATCAAACCAAAGGCAGATAAAGAAGAATCGAGGAAGAAAAAGAAAGAGAAGGAAGATAAAGAGAAGGCCGCAGCAGAGTCAAAGGCCTTGAGTTCTGCAACCATCGCTGGACCCGCCCCTCCCTCTACCACAGGCACATCACAACCTCCGTCAGACGTCCATGCAGCCGCTGGTCCAGCAAATCCTGCTCTACTTGCTCCCGCCTCCACCTTAGACCAAAAGACGCCTGAAAACAAGTCACCCGAAAATGCTGCAGCATCGACTGCAGAGAATACAGACACCCCCGCAGAGTCTTCTGGGGCGAACGCCAGCCAACCAGATGCAAACTCTTCGGAGAAGACAATCACCACGCCTCCTGCCGATCAAGGCAAGGAGAATGTTATGGAAAGGAAAGCTGCAGAGCTTGGCGCAAATACACCAATACCACCCTCTGAGCAGGATCAATCTATCATCGCTGAGAGACAGTCGTCGGAGTCGTCCAAACATTCGGAGAGAAAAATGTTTGCTGTGGAAATCCCAGCATCCAGTCGTGCATCAGATTCTGCGGGCAATGGCTCTCCTCAAAAATTGCCTGAGCCGTCCTCCACCAAGAACGACGATGCTATGGATATCGATCAACCTCCAGCGGCTGCAGCGGCTGCAGATTCTGCCAAGGTTAACCAAGAAATTCCAGAATCAACGGACCAGGCAAGCTTGGCCACTCCGCACGTTGCTGATGCCCAACCCACTTCGGTAGAGACTCCTGTATCACATGCTGCCGGGACGACTGTACGAGAACTAGCGCCACTGGACGAGCCTCGGCCAGTTGAATCGGCCACGGCTATCAGCCCTGGAATTGCACTGGCCCCTCAAGCCTCGCCGGCGACTGCAGCACCTAGTCAAGCCACGGTGCCCGAAAATGCCCCAGTTCCGAGTCTAAACCAACCATCCACATTACCGACCGAATCACGATTATCAAATGGCATGGTGAAGGAACCAGCGCAACCAGAGATTCCAGAACCACCTCCAGTGATTGAGCATACCGGGCGCTGTCTTACGATTTTGGAGAACTTTGATTATGCGACCGCCAACCAACGCAAATACAGCATGTACTTCAACGCCAAGAAGCCTGCTCGTTTGACAAGTACGTATCATCTCGATTTGTTAAGAATGTGTAAGGCTAACCTCGCATAATAGAAATCTCGTCATCGCTTTGCGTCATCACCTCATTGCCTTCGCGTTACCGCGATCCAGAGACTGCGCTCCCTTACGCCAATTCATACGCATATGGGCAAATCCGCCGTCTGCTATCGAAAGGGTATATTTGGAGCTCGATGCTTGGATGCTTTGTCGGACCGGCCGAGGCTGCCCGTGGCGTGCCCGAGCGATTTACAGGCAAGCCAGGTCCAGGCACAGTAAAATTGCTGGCCGACAAGGATGAGGGCCCGGCCGATTCGATTACAGGGAAGAGGGTCGACAGAATGGCTCTGAACGGCGAGGTTCCTTCGACACCCACCCCGGCCGCGACTCGAGCAGCGCCTCCAGAGCCAATGGAGATTGACAAAGCTTGAGCGATTATTTGTATATTTAGTAGATACCCAGATAGAATTGAGACCAAAGAACCCAAGTGGACGTCAACATCATCTCTTCTCCACATCGACTGATGGACTTGTTCTAAGACTCTGCAGACTTTTCAACGTCAAAGCTTCAGTGCTATGATGTATTCTATGTTGACAGATGTCACCGGCCCACCGATAAAAAAAAAATCAATCCAAGCTCGCCCCTATGATATTTATATCCCGACCTGGCCTATCCAAGGAACGATTTCGGTACCCGGCGGAAAGCAAACAGGGAAAAAGATCACAAACAAATCAAATGGGTAAGTTATCTTCTGATGTAAATAGGGAAGAAATAACTTTCGATTCTCGAAAGCCCCGGTTTTCCCCATAGACCTGAAACACGGAAGATCGACGATTAGCACTCGAGTCCGAGTCTGGAATGATAGTCCCACATCTGCTCGGAGGGCCACACTTGTCACAGGCAGACGTGTCAGTGTGGCACTTCATATACCCCACAGAGAGTCTCGATTGTTCCTATTTTCGTTGTCGCCGTAGCCGGCAGTTATTCTGTTGCTATCTTAACGTTATCTTGTACAGATGTACTCTGTAGAAACAAAGGGTTAGTATATAGTGGGCAATGATGTATTTCATACCCACCAGTTCACGCCATCTGGGTCTGTTTATATGAATCCTTGAACTCTTCGAGGCATTTATGGCGTCATTTAGAATGTTGTTTCATCTATGGTATATGGTATGTTGTACAAAATGTACAAATGTATTCAAGTATTCAAGTATTAGCTTGTATATTGTAGATACTGATTGTCAGGAATGGTGTCAATCTATCACACCAGATCCGATCCCCTCCGGAGATACGGTCCCTGCGCTACTGCATGCATACATGGATATACTTGGAAGTGCATTTCAGTCTAGGAAGTGAGAAGTACCTAATGAAGTGAATAAGTGGTACAAGACACAATGACAACAGATCCATAGAAATAGAGAAATAGATATGAACCTGGAAAATATCAAATATCAAATATCCAAATATACACAGGGCTAATTATAGTGGACAGCCCTAGAGCTCGTCACAAGTGACTCAGCTGGTCTAGATCGGGGATTGCGTGTTGGGGGTACCCTGGGAGTACCCGATAAGTACCTGGAAAGTACTGTTTAGCGTAAATTTGCCCTAAGGCTGCCAAAAGTGACTTCAGAGGTACATGGCTCCAAGGGTTCTGTCCCCAAGAGTCTAGACGTGATCGTCTCATCCTACCGCAACAGCACGTTTTCCTTTCTCTTTCTCCTCTTCAGAGCTTTCCCCTCCACTTTTGTATTTATATTTTCATTTCCCCCTCGATTTTCATTAATTCTTTCTGTGCCACTTTTATCTTCCATCTCAGGTGCTTTTGCAACTTTATAGACCTTACACTCCGTATAGAACCCCCTTTGGTATGTCACTTATCTATATTTGCCTTATCTTTCTCCACTCACAGGCTAAAGATAGCCCTGTTGCATCCCGATGTGTGTCAGATGCTAACACCTTATCAGGCATTTCTTTTCTTCATACGTTTCTCAATATACATACTCCGGTGTTTCTTCAATTTCATCAAAGCATTTGTCTTCCCAATTGCACCGACTCGGCACATTCCAGTTGGAATCAATACTTCGACCACAAATCCCTCAAGTCTGTGCTCCCCCAGGGGCCCTTGTGCTCCACACTTGCTCCAGTCTCGATAGAGTCTTCGTGATAAGATAGTGAGGCATTTGGAAGCCTTCACCGCTATGACTCAAACAGCCCCCTTCCACCGCCGCTCCCCTTCTTCTCCTCATGTATCTAAGTCCAAGTCCACTCGTCCAGCTTTGCATCGACGAGGAACATCCGGTGTCAACGTTGCAATCTCCAAATTAGGCTCAGGACAAAAGGGAGCGAGCAAACCATCTCCGTCTTCGGACGATACCGAGTTTGACATGGCCAGCTTCTTGAACTTTTGGTATGTGATCTCCCTAAAACTCTTATCTTTGAATCCTGCAGGGATTACTTTCCTCACATGCCTGTTGCCGTCATCTGTGTTCCATACACCGGTCTTTTCTTCAATGGACATAAAGCTGACCCAGTTCCAGCGCCATGTGTGAGAACCAGATCACTGTCCCCAACAACAGTTTGTTATATTGTAGCGAAAGGTATGTGGTAAACCGCCTCGGCCTATATTTAGAGCCATTGATACCCTCTCCTTCCCTCTCCCAATTCCCAACTCTTTGTTTGGGACCTGCATCATATCTTGGCACTTGAATACTTACCATTTCCTTTAATCTATATAGTTGCCGCCGCAAAGACTCCTGCAAACCACTCTCAGCATCACTACCATCCATGTCCTCAATGTCTTCCACTACACCACCCACATCCCCCCCTCTTCCCCACGCACCATCGTGGCCCCAATGACCCCAACCAGGGTGCCAAGCCACCCAATCCCTGCCATGCGGATACCCAGCCACGTGCATGATGCCAAGTCAGATCTTGACCCCACTGAATGGAAGCCCGTATTAGCCCGCAGCGGCTCATCCCTGGCCTCCTCCGAAGCATGGAACTATCTCTCCCAGTTCCACCGCGGCATCGAGCCCATGCTCCCCCGACCCGTCCAACGCAGCAGCTCCAGCCTTCCAGCCCTGGCACACAGCCAAAGTCACGTGCCCAGTCTGACGAACACCCCGTCCACCGTGGCTTCGTCCTTCAGCAGCACCGCCTCCGACTACCTGGGCATGTACGAGGCTCAGCGCCCGCTGCCACCGCGCCACAACCCGTACTTTGCCGGTACGAGCGTGCACAAGGGCGTCGAGCTGGTTGTCCCGCATATCGCTTCTGCGAATGAGGATCTTGGCCCTATTGTCTCGGACAGTGGCTCGATCTTCCCTGCTAGCAGTGCTGTGTGGGAAGATAGCTCGTGTGAGAAACGCTCTGCTCCTATCTGCATGGCGCGGGGTATTGGCGGCCGGCCCGCTGAGACTTGCGTGAAGAACTGAATTGAACAAAGAATAGATGGAACTGGTTGCTGTCTCATCAGATGAGATGAAGCTATCTTTGCTCCTCTTTTTTCTTTTGTTTCGTTTCGGTTTATTTATGCCCACTATGGTTATATTCTCTTCTTCTTTGAATTTCGGGTCCGAGCGAGATGTGGCTCTTCAGCGTGAAAATGATATGATCTGACGGATTTGCTCTATTTTATTATCTACTCTCTATACCACGAGCGAATATAGATTTATTAATGCGTACAATCGCAATTGGTGCCAAAACATTCTCTTTTACGGTTTAATTCGGTTCCCCATCCTAAGGCTAGGAAGTAATCGGAAGATAGCTCTGAGGAAATGGACCGTGTAATGATTATCATTCAACAACTGACAGTTATCTTTGCTGAGCGGATATTTTCAGTTGCACCGCAATGAGAGCCTCAAATTCCGCTTCCGGATCAAGAGGACTCAGGCCTGACGATGTCTCATAAAATGAATCCATGATCAATACTCACAGAGTGGCTCAGCTCGGTCGATCGACGTGGGGAGGGCCCTCCGAAAATGGTACCTGTCGATCCACAGAGGTGAAATAAGTGGGCCTTACAGGACTAAACAAGTAGGATTGACGCGGAGATATTTAGTGGGGATCGACGTTTGACGCTGGTTGATCGCCTTTAGCATCGCCTTAGTCTGCATTTCTTACTCGACTTATACTAGGCCCACGGGTACTATATAAGAATACGTAGTTAGCTGCATATATGGCCTTGGTATGTCCGTTTAGGTAGTCTTTCATAGTTATTCTTACACTACCCATAGCTCCTGGTTTAATAAACCAAGCAATGTTACTCCGATTCCGTTATTCAGGCTTACTTATTTGTAGATACATCTACGGACAAACCTCGCTGATATGTTGTACGGACGTACTGCGTGCATGTACAATATATGTAGATAGTTGGGTTCAGGTCGGCCAATTAGGGCTACGTCGATCTCAGTCTGCCGAAACTTTCTCCCTCGGTCTACTCAGTTAATGGATAAATAAGCATAACAAAAATAAATAAACACATTCTAAGAAAGGCGGACAATACTAAAATATTGACCAAGAACACCCAACAAAGAAGCATAACTCAGAATCGAAACAACGGTATAAACGCCCTGCAACTTTCCAGATTCATATAATTTGTCCTATGAGAAATAAAGACACCAAATGAACCCATCCCTCACAACCATCCAATAAATCCAATATGTACACCTAAACCCTAGAAATCAGAAGTAATGCAGCACATATAGCACCCCTTATTCGGCTTATAGAGAGCCATAGCCTAATAAAGCATTAGCAAGTCCCATATATCCAGAGATCTCATACAACGAAGATACATATCTCCATATCATACGCAGTAAGAAAAAACACGGGAAAGAAAAACTCACATAAGGCTTCGCACACTTCGCATCACTCTCATTCGCAAAGCACTTCCCCATACAGAAGCTATTCCCCTCGTCCTTACCATGATTCTGGTCCGGGAAGAGAGGAGGAGGCGCAACCTGTGAACCAGGTCTCATTGGGTCGATTGGAGCCACGCCACCCGATGCACCGGCCGGGATATCTTGATCGTCTGGGCCAAAGCCCTGGGACCGGCCTTGAGGTGAGGGGCTTGGGTGGTTGTACGCGTACCCAGGGGCCGGTGCCTTGGCGTGGGATGGAGCGGCGGGTGTCTGAGAAGCTTGCACTATGAATGTGCTGTGGATCATGGGAGTTGCCGATGAAGCTGGGGCTCGGATTGGGGTGTGAGGGCTCGGGGCGGCGTTTTGATGGCCGTAGTCGACCTCGTAGTTGCCGTAGTTGGCATTTCCGTTGTGGTTCTGGGCCTGGTCTTGATTCTGGTTTTGGTTTGGGCCTTCGTTGATGTTCTTGAGATATTCCAGTTCCGCGGGGCCTGGACCGAATTGGTGGTGGGCGTATTGCGCCGAAGCGAGGGAGACGCTGAGGAGGAGGACGGAAAAGTGCATGTTTAAATTGGCTTTTCGGGTTTTCTTGCTGATGCTGTTGATTTTATTTCCTTCTTCTCTGTTTTGAGGTATGTATGGCGGCTGGTCGTTGTTGGTTGTCGTTGGTTGCCGGTTGTCGAGATTGTCGGAGGTCAAGGTACGATCCGATCAGGACCGGTTATTATGTAGTAGATTATTTCACGCGTATATCAGGAATGGAGGGGTGTGTTGGGTTTCGCGCGTTGGTGGCATTTTTGGATGCCTGTGGAATGTGGGTATTCGTATACAACTGCATAGACAACATAACTCTTTCATGAAATGGTATAAATTAGTTAAGGTGAGGTTCTCGACTTGATCAATAAACACGTTTTGTCTAGCTGGTAGTCGAGCGCTAACTATTCTTTCATCTGATTCCGACCTGACGAAAAGTATGAGCTTGACTCATGATCTCTGCATAGCAACATTCGCGAAGTAAACAGGACAACTGGGGTTCCGATCTGCCTCGATTAGTCACGCGTGTGGAGCTTGATACGATATATTTATATACTGTTGAAAATATAGTCTACCTCCCTGGAGATGTTGTAAAGGACGTTGTTACTGCGATGTATCAAAGTGATATAAGACCACAGTTTAGAATTTAGAGGGTTATTGCTGTCCAAGGAACCAACAAACCTTGGGATCCTAAGCCAACCAATCACAAGCCCTGAAGACACATGTCATGTTCACGTAAGGGGATTTACATAAGGCATCCCGGTTTTTGCAGGGTCAGGACAGGATTTGATGAGTGAGGCTAGAAAGGTAACTCATGGCTATTACGAGCCACTGCCTCTATCTCATCGACGTAGCTAGCTCATGTAGCTTTTCAGTTGGATCACGTAGTGCTTTGTGAACAATAGGTCTGCTAGTCGGCTCCGGGAAATGTACATCCCCATGATCGACCCGTGGATTTTCTGGTAACAAATCGTCTACAAAAGAAAGTACCGTACATGCGCAGGGACAGTTAGACCAAGTCTGCTCAGCAGTTGCCACTTGAGTCAACGGGTGGCTAGACTAAGAACGATTTCAGCCACCAACACATGGATCCTCATCAAGGATCCACTGTATAGGTGCGGTTCTTTAGAGGTTCCATTTCATATAGCAGTAACAGGTCGCCACGCCAGTAGCAATATCAGGAACAATACCAAGAGCATTGTCCATATTTTGTTAGCTGGTTTCGCCACTGCATCGGCGGTAAATAGTGAGAACTGGACCCTTAAGAAGATCCGTCCCGGCCGATCACAGGTATTCTCTCGAGGCTTCACATCCACGAGAACTGCCAAAGAATGCTAACATCTTCACATATTGGCGGAGCGCAGTCCGGATTCCAAATTCCAAGACTTCAGCTTCAGCGTACACTGTAGAACGCAACTCTGGCGCTCATTGCGTATTTCGACGTCGGCGGCAGTGGGGGCCCCCAATAACCTCGCCAGGAACTATTTTCCCTTATTATTGGCGGATCCAATTGGACGGGTTGGGGGATAGGGCTTTCCCTTGTCTTTCTTCCTTCCCCTTAGGACAGGAAACTGCAGGCCACGGACCTTCCTTATGATAGCCGCGTGTGTCCTGCTAGGGAGAAATGACAACTGAAAAGGCTTGAGGCGTACTCTCGAGATGACGTTGCCCCCCAGGCAATGTCTGGCATCACTTGATGACAGGGGTCCTTGAAAAATTAGGTCGAAGGGGCCGAGCGTAGTCATCCTCGGCTTCAAGGTGGGTAGACATCTCACCTGCCTCTCATTCAAATCTCATGTTCACCCTGCCATGACCCATCACCATCACCGACAAAGAAGCCTCACTTGACAGGGAAATGACCACAGGAAGAAACTGCCCCAGCCATACTTTCAGCCGACAAATGGGGCAGCTTCCTTCGGCCAAGGTTACCGACCGTGCTGTGTAATGACTGACTCGGACAGGTCGATGCCCCCCACAAGCTACAGCGGATGATGACAGCGTTGCTTGTAAACACGATGAGACGTCTTCGCCATGCACAAAGCCAACGTCGATGCCCATCACGACCCCCGCCGACAGCCCGACACGAAAGCAATCATCGACATGGCCTGGATGAAACGGCCTCGAATCACCGATCGATGCTCCCCGTATCGTGCCTGCTCGGATGATCACGGTGTTCTGTGCTCTCTGACCATGAGACCTTGTGTTCAAGTCGACATCCGACCCGCCGACTGTCTTTAGACACAGACTTCTCCATGGTTTGCAAGATCAACAGACACCATGCCCTCGACCTGAACCGATTTGAAACCGACGTACACTGCATCACTGGTGCCAAAAAGACGACCCACGACAACGTCCACAGGAATAGTTTGGCCTCATACTGCACTACCAGTCACTTACTTTCGTGGATTGAATCCTATCAGAATTTTGGCCAAGTCTCTTCCATGACCACACCACTCCATCGACAGAGGCGACCTGGTTTATATGATAACGGTTGCAGGGTACGGAACTTACTAGCTGGATCGCTCGCTCATTCATCCCAACTGACTTGGCGTGGTGCACTGGTGCGGCACAGCAATGAACCCCATCGTCAGCCCACATGTGAAGGACCCCGTCGGCGGTGACATGCGTTCCGTTAGCACCGTACACGTTTGCGGACCAGCCAGATACCGGCGTGAGAACTCGGGCCAACCAACGTGTGACTCCTCTACCCTCAGTCCCCCTAGTAGGCCAGGTCCACATGAATCGCGAGTAGTCCCAACCGAACCCAGAGCGTCCGATTCAACCATATATCCTTTGATCTCCCGTCTAGCCTGTTCAACGAAGTGAAGGCAAGGCCCGGGAAACGCCGCCTAGGAATACTTCCGTTCCCTTCGTCGTTCCCGTTATCGTTCCACGAAACACCTTTGTCAAGAAACCCATATGGCTCGGAAATACCACACAAATACCCTGGAGGTGATGACGGAAACAGTTGAGATGGTCCACCGGAATCAAGACACGGGGTTCTGCCGCACCGATGATGTGTTCCGTATGGCCAATGACCGAAAAGTGCTGGTATAAAGGATAGATGCCACACTACTCGCATAGAAGCACATGGGAGACAGTGGTTGGGGTTGGGTTGGTCTTATCATACCCAAACCAACGTCAGACTCTGCATCAAATGCTGATTCTGTGGCACACCCCCGAGTTGTGGTATCCGGCCCGGTACCAAGACACTGCCAGACTGGGTAATATGATGGAGTGTTGGTGAATCATCACTCACACCCAGCTTTGTCCATAACCCCCATAACCAGACATATGCCACACCACATTGGCGCAGAAGCACATAGGAGCCAGTGATTGGGTTTGGTCACCCAAACCAACGCCAGACTCCGCGTCAAATGCTGGTTCCATGTCACACTCCTGAGTTATGGTATTTGGTTTAGTACCCAGGCACTGCGAGACTGGGTAATATGATGGAGTGTTGGGTGAATCGGTCATCCCTTCCAGTCGCGTCCATAACTCCCATAGCTGGACAGCCAGGCCATTCTAGCCCTTTTATCCCTCGTTCTGCTTTAGACGGCCAGCAATCGATGCCTTGACAGTTTCACAAGATATTCAAGGTGTGGTGCTCAAGTGTTTGAAGGCTTCGTGGGTCGCGGACCGGGAATGAAAATCTTCGGGATCAGGAAGTCGATGTCTGGTGAGAAGAGGCGACGGTGCTCAACTCGATAGATACGGTCGAGGATACGGCAATGTATACAGTGGGGATATGGAGGATTCGACTGTCAAAAGACAAGGAGGGGAAACATGTTGAATTCAGTCCGGACGTTGGAGGAACGGGTTGGGCGCTAACAAACTGTAAAAGGAAAGAGCGAGTCAGCAACGCAATTTCAAAGCTGCCCAGGTGAATCCCGTACAGACAACTTTGGAAGACAGAGGGAACAGTTACAGACCTCTTCAATGTGTTTTCCTCGCGTGAAAGAAAAACAGAACCCGGTCCCAGGGATGAGATGTCCACGAGAACCATTCGGGTTGCCGACGACCAACGTATCCGCAGATTGTCCACCAAGTATTCACAGCTTCATCTTCGAGGTATAGTGAGAGTTCCAGCGTCTGGACGAGTCATTGAGGTTGACGGTCGAATTCGATGTTCACTAAAGACACCTGTGGTCAGTTTACTTGCAGTTAGGTCGAGTCCACCCGAGAGCCCTATCCCAATTGGCTCCAGTCTCTTTGAAACAGTGGAACAGAAGTGTGCAAAACATTGCCACTACAGCTTCCACAAACAAACTACCGTGGGCAGAAGTCCAAAGTCGCCACGAGTGCAAGACTGCAAGAGGGAATGCCTTTTGCCTCTTTGGTATCTCCAATCTATCCGAAGGCAGATCTCGGCAGATCATACAGATGCGAATACCAACACAGGGACTCCAAATTCGCTTCAATTTTCCAGCAAACCACGGGCCACGACCAAAGCTCAAAGCTGAAATGCCAGGCGAAAATAATAATAATAGAAAAGCAAGAGCTTAGGTTGGTCCAAATATGAACGTTCTCTATCTCCATGGAGAACAACACGATTGGCTGGCAATTTTATCCGGGACCGATTCAAAGGTCTTAAAAACAATGAACTACAATACAATTCTTCTTGGTTTTTCTTTTTCATTCTGAACGATATTTTGAAATCTTCAAATTCCCTGAAGTGAAGGTTAGCCCAAATGCCTCGAAAGCTCGAGGGCTCTACGGCTCTACGGAAGTATAGGGACTGATGTCCAACTCGGCTTGGACGAAACAGACTGGCGGCAAACTGCCCAATCCCCTCAAATACCTTGTTCAAATATCCCGCCTTTCTCTCTTTGACTCTCGAGTCATCGTCGAATCCCATCTCCCACCCTCTCTACGAATTCTATGTATAAGGCTATCTTCTTCCCAGTCGGGTCACACTTGTCTATAAACACGTATGGCCGACCGCTCTATGCCCCAACCCCTACCTTGCCAATATTCATACTTCGCCCTCTTAAACCTTTTGCCCCATTCTTCCATAAATCTATCCGTGTCCTCCTCCCAAATACCAGTAGTCTGGTTACTGACCCCTACGAAATCGTGATAGTCTATAGGTAGACACAGGCAGATACCAGGGAACCCCCATCTGATCTGATCAGCTTCGAACACGATAGCCCAGACCATCCCCAAGCCTCTTCCCACATATGAACAGAACCCCTGACAGCACACCTGATCCAGTCCAAAGATGCCAGACCTCACCGCAGCTCACTCCACGAACGGCCAAGGAGGCCCAGCAGACCGCAACGGGGTCCGCCAGACCGACTCGGTACGCAACGAGAATGCAACAAGGTGAGTAACCATCTTTTCCGATTTACTCCCCAAATTGCGAGAGACCCTACCTCCGTCCCCTCTTACCTCTCTCCCTGTCTCACTCCCACATCTTCCTCATCCCCGTAAACCAACCCCCTTCCGGCAACGCTTAAATGATCGAAAGCTGAGATCTCGTGACCTCCCCACTCAGCCTGAACATCGAACACACCAGCGACTCACCCGAGCGCCACCAGCAGATCCGCCAGCAGGAACTCGACCTGAACTACTATCGGAAGTTCCTCGAAGATTTGGTCGCCGTCATGCGCGATGCTCATAGCGATTCTGTCGCTCAGCTCGTCTTGCTCATTCGCTCCGGGGCGTCGACCGGGGAGATCCATGCCGCCCTTCAACGCGTCCAGAATGGGAGCTGAACGTCGCACTTTTTTTGGTATTCGACCTTTCCAATGAAAACCTGCGCTATGGTTTGTGGCTTCGGCTTTCGACTTTCGATTTCGGCTTTTGTTTGCCTTCTTTTTTCTTAGTGTGTCCCAGCCCTGCAGAGAACCTTCCAAGGTTGGAATTGAGGGCTGTGGACATAATCGTGAACGCTTCATCCATGGATGCATATTGATGTCTTCTAGGAGAAAAATATTGAGAATGCCCTTCTTCTTCTTCTTCTTTTTTTTTTTGGTCTAGGTCTTGGAAAAGATATAAGACAAAATAAATGCTGCAAGTTGAGTGGTAGTCGATATAGCTCATGACGCTTCATTTTTTGTTTTTTTGTTTCTCATAACCATGTTCTTTCCTGGGGTAGTTTGTGATATGAGTTTTGAAGTCTGATGTGTTGTGTTTTGTCGCAAGTATTGTCCGGGATATGCATGAATTAGGGTTGTTGAAAAGGAAAAGGAAAATTGACTCAAAGAACAAGAAAAAGGGAAAAAGAAAACGACCGGCACCTAGTTTCGATGACAGGCGGTGCTGGGCCAACAGCATTGATCTCATTCACATGCACATGCCTTCAGATGCCCTGGATGTCGAAATACCTATACCAAACCCGGTAGGAGATGTGAAATACGACACTTAGTGACAACATGCCACTAACCCAAAGTGTATGGAACCGATGCAAGCCCAGTGACCGGTACAATCATTCCCAGCCATGGGACAGATGAAAGGAAGAACATTGAAACGGGAGGGAAATGATGCGAACATCAAGATTGACTTAACCAACATGATGGGGACGTGTTCTGATTTGGACTGTACCGAATGTGAGCTGCGTCTGTCTCCATTGGGGGCGAGAGTTGTGGTTGTTAAAAGGTAGGAAACGGGAGCATAAGTACGTTGATGCGCGCGTCTATACGATGTACCCGGTCCAAACGGACACAGTTCTATTCTCTGTTCCCTGAGACTTGTCAATGGGAATATCCACTAGAACACACACCTAGGGCTGGGCGTTTCTTGAAGGGGCCAAGTGGAATGGGAATCCCTGTGGGCTCACGGATCCTATCTCCGTGCGGTTTCGAGCAATGGAAGCACACGGTGGTGTGGATCACCCTTTTGCGCTTCTCTTTCTCTGTACACGGAGACGGTCTCCTCTTCTCTCTCACGATGCTAGAGATACCTCAAGCTCTTTGCTGGTCTGTTTTGAAAAGATACTGTACTAACCCGTGTCAGAGATGGATGAGAATCCTCCTCGCACTGTCCGCCTCTGTTCCTGTAGACGGAGAGAGACGGAGAACACTCTTCACTCTCTCTCTCTCCAAGAGACAAGAACCCCAAGTCCCTGTCCATTTCTTTTGGAAGAAAAGTCAGTACTAACCCATCTCCCATTGTTGGCCATGGGAGATGATGAGATGTTGAGAGGTGAACCAGGGACAGGTTTCCCGACCCGGACGATTACAGTAGGACACCTGGGCACACCGATTCGATCCCCCCCGTGACCATGATCAGACTTCGTCCAACTCGATCTCGATTCCGGTCTTTTTCTATACACAAATGACAAATCCAATCTCCTATCCTCGATCACAGCCATGTCGTAGCACGCCCGTTCCCTACTCATCGCGACCCGGATCCGCAGCAGGTCAGCATCAGCAGCATCGTCAGACCAAACGATCCGACCCCATCGACGGCTTTACTTGCTGTAGCTGGAAGCTAAAGCCAAAAGCAACACCAATGCCAATGATAAAAACAACGCCAACGCCAACGCCAACGAGAACGAGAACGAGAACGTAACCATAACTACAAAACGAGGACAACAGCGCTAACGGGAACGCTAACGAAAACTACAACGACGATGATAATGAGCGCGCCGATGACAACGCCAAAGCCACCGCCAACGACAATGCTAACGCTAACAACAACGCCAACGAGGACGAGAACGCGAACGCGAACGACAACGCGGCGAGAACGTTGATGAGAAAGCTAACGAGAACTACGATGAGGACACCAACGACGACACCAACGACGACACCAACGACGACACCCCCGAGGACACCCCCGAGGACACCAACGACAACAACAACGCCAACGACAATGCTAACGCCAACCCCAACCCCAACGCCAAAAGCCAACCAACTCCATATCCGAACAATCTCAAATCCAACAAAACCAAACCCACCTTCTCTTCGCCGGTCAGGGGGCAATGGAGACGCAGAACGCACGACAGATCGTGTCACGCCGCGCGCGAGCAGCCGTGTTTGGAACCTAGCTAAAATCCCATATAGACGGGACTCGGTTTGAGGCTGTGTGCGCATGCATGCTTCCGTTTTTGGTTGGTTTCATAATCCCAGGTGCCAGGGTCTCGGGCTAGGTTTCAACGGCAGCGGCAACGGTTGTGGGATTTGAGATTTGACATCTGGGATTCGAAATCTCGGGTTTGGAAACTACATTCTGAGATCCTATATGTGGAAGACTGCTTATGGGTGGACTGTGCATATTGTTCGGAGAGCCTCGGTGTTGTTTGGGGCTGTAGTGTGTGTAGTGTGTGCGTAGAGTCTCAGCTGGCATCAGTTGGCAACAGTTTAAGAATCTTGCAGGTACGGTAGGTCAGTCGATATCCGTGTTGTCAAAAAGGCAAGCCAAATCTACATAGGTACTCGGTACCCGGTGTACGTGACATAGAAACAGAATGGTTTTAATTGATCTTTGAAGGAAATCTCATTCGTCCATTGTAGCACCCATGCCACATTCCCGTACCTATCGTGATCATGCATGTAACTTTTAACATATCTAAGGAGTGCAACGGCCAGTGAACCGGGGGTACAATGAGCAGTCACGGACGGTATAACGAGCGCACAGCCAGGCCAAGAAACGCTCGAGACCGAGACCGTAACCACCATGAGGGGAGGTACCATACCTATTGTTCAAAAGTTAGTATGGAGGAAAATACTAATAGGAACAATTCGAGATATCGAAACTTACTTGCGCTGGTCAGTGTACCAGTAGTAGGGCGAGGGGTCCATGCCCTCGTGCTTGTAGGCGGCCATCAGCTCATCCCAGTCGTCCATTCTCATACTGCCTCCGACGATCTCGCCAACTCCGGGCATGAGAACGTCGACACTCTCGGTGACACGGCGGTCCTCGGGAGCCTTCTTCATGTAGAAGGCCTTGATGTTGGCAGGGAAGTGGGTCAGGAAGATGGGCTGGTTGATGATATCGGTCATGCGACGCTCAGCAGCCTCAGCAATATCGTCACCGAACTTGTGGGGCTGGCCCTCCTCGTTAGGGATTTCGTGCTCGATCAGCCACTGGATAGCATCGTCGTACTTCATGCGACGGAAGGGACGGGACGGGGGCTTGAAATCCGGGTTGAGCTGCTTGATATATCCAGCGATCTCGGGCTCAGCCAGAGTGTAGTCAATCACGCGGCAGATCACATCCTCGAGGTGGTCAAGCAGATCAGTGAAGGTGATGAAGTCCAACTCGGCTTCGATGTGCGTGTACTCCGACAAGTGGCGGCGGGTCAACGACTTCTCGGCACGGAAAGACGGGCACACACAGTACACATCACCCAGGGAGGGGAGACATGTCTCCAGGTACAGCTGGGAGGACTGGGTCAGGTAGGCGTTCTCGCCGTAGTAGTCGAATCCGAACAGAGTGCTGCCACCCTCGACCTGGGTCTGCACCATGGCGGGAGGGGTCACCTCCAGCATGCGGGTCTCCTCGAATGCCTTGCGGAAAGCCCGCAGAGTAGCGGCGCGCACCTTCATGACGGAGGAGGAGGTCTCACCGCGCAGCACCAAGTGGCGGTTGTCGTAGAGAGTCTGCGGGTCGGCGTCCGGCGCCACACGCGTGGTAATAGCCTCCTTGTCACCAGCGGCCTTGCCGATGATCTCGAAGAAGTCGGCGTGCAGCTCGCGGTCGTTGGGCGCATGCTGCTTGGGGGGCACGGCGCGCATCTCGCCGTGGATGGACATGGAGGTTTCGAGGGTGAGGGTCATGATGTCGTAGGTCTTGACCATGTCACCGGTCAGGACACACTGCAGGTACCCATAGCCGTCGGTGAGAGTGATGAAGACGACATCCTTCTGGGCGCGGGCACGGTGAACTCGGCCCAGAACGCGGACTCGAGTGCCGGCCTCATCGGACTCAGGGGTGCGCAGCTTGATGATGGCCGGGTCGGTGACGTCCAGACGAACGCGCACGGGCTTGGGCAGCGAGGTGTCCTCCTTGATCACGACCTTCTTGGCCTCCTCAAGGACCTTCTGGCGCTTGTCGGCCTCGGCCTTCTCGCGGATGGCCAATTCCTGTTCCTTGGCGGCCTTCTTCTTGCGCTGCTCCCAAAGGTTGTTGGCCTTCTTCATTGCCGACTTGGTGGCGGGCTTCCACTCCAATTTGGCTGCGGGGTCGACATCCTCCCCGGCGGCGTCGGTCTGGGACTTGCGAGTGAGGTACTGGATGCCTTCAGTGGTGGGGGGGGGTTCCACATAGGCGTGGACGAGGGTCTTGTAGGGGGCGGTCTCGGTACCGTTGGCGGGGGACTCGTCTCTACCGACGTCTTCGTCGATGTAGATGGTGGTAGACGCCATGGCGTTCAGTCTAGTCCTTGCAGCTCGAGTTGCGGCGGGAGAGTTCTGTGGGAGAAATAATTAATATTGGGTCTGATCTGTGAGTCATACACGGTAAGGCTGAGAAGAATCCAGGCAGGACAGATTAGAATGCAAGAGTAGACTCACCTGATACACAGAGAATGGAACTCTTATCTCTTCCCAATTGCAAGTTGTCCAAGGGAGGAATCGCACATTATGGTAGAGGGGTAAATTTCCGATAGATGCGGGATTCCCCACGGATGCCTGAGGCAGTCATCAAATTGTATATCTCGGATATCTTTTGGAGTATATATTTGGGGGTTATGATCCAAGGCTGATTGATTTATCCACAGGGATTAGATGATACATGTGGATTCCAATTATTTGAATCCAGTTGTCTACATAATTCTATTGGTCACTCACCACTAAGATGGACAGTATAGCTGTGCTTAGAGTATATCAAGGGATATACCTACCATTCTGAAGCAGATGAACATTTTAAACTCATCCACGAGGTGAGTCAGAACCTTACCTACATAGCGCCAGCCCTGGAGGTGTAGGCTTTCGCTTACCTAGTCCTTACTAATGACATAGCTGACATCCATGGATGTTCGGGATATTGCAGTTCCATTGTCATGGATGTATAAAGGAGGTCACGGGACCATATGCTTTCCCCGGAGAACGGAGATTAAAAGAAGAGGATTCAAAAGACGTCCCTAGGTAGTACTGTAGTACTGTAGTACTCCAAATTATATTAATCTCATGAACCTGTCAGGGGCAGATTGGGTCCTGATCCAATTCTGCAGGAGCCACGGGAACTCGAAGTTTGGGGAAACCCATTATATTTTATTCTTTTGTTCTTTATATGTTGTAGGTATTCTTTATTACAATATAGTTATTTTATGTTTATTATCTCATATGTTGTATATCCAATCGAGGCATATAACTTCCTATAAATCAGTAATATAATCTCATATATAAAAATGAAGTTAGTCCGGCCCCCTTTAACCCACTCAAAGTGCTCCTATTACCTTTCCCCCCTTTTAATGTTTTTTTTTTTCCTCTCCTCCATACTCCGTACCTTACCTGGATTCACTTCCTTGCCTTTCATTCCTTTTCTTCACGCTCTTTTTTAACCCTTTTTTTTGTGTTTCTGTTTCTCGTTTTATCGCTTCTTAATAAGGATTATTTTTCTAATTTTTTTTACTTCTTTTAAAAACTGGTGTCAACTGTAAACTCTTCCCCAATCTCCCCCAGTCTTACCCCCTTTTTTCCCCTTCAGGTCTTTTTTTCCTTTTTTCCCTTTTGGATTTCCTAACCTCTTTTAAGCTAATGACTTTTGTAGTCTTTTGACTTGAATTCTTCTTCTCTTCCTCTCTCAGGAGACTTCGTATATGTTATATACTTGTCCTGCATGGGGGATTGACATATAAGTGGCATTCTCTAAAAGAGACCCAAAAAAGGACAGGTTTGTCTCCATCCCCATTCCCCAATTTCACCCTGATTGAAACATTCCAATTGACTGTTGAACTTTCATTTAAGACACGTCTACATTTGAAAGAGCTTCTTCTTTTTTTTTTTGACATTATTCATTTTCTTCTCCACCCGAAATCCTCCCTATTTTTCCCTCTGAGATTGGCTGTGGAGACATCTCCTGAATGGTGATCTGATAATCCTCCCTTTATTTTTTTTTTTACCCTTTCTTCCCCTCAGAGCCTCGCAGTCTCGTAGTCAGGGCCTCTCATCCCCGACTAAGACTAGGTTCTTGTCTTAGGACAAGTGTTGGATTTATTCTCGCCATGCAAGCCTCGGATGTATCAAGCATCCCGAAATAATTCGCGTCTAATCCCTCCCGGGTCTAAATACGCGCTGAACGGTGATACTGGCTTTTCCCACGGAGCTTACAACAACAACCACCCCAACCCTATCCAAGGATTCTCGGATCGGAATACTCGTCGCGCCAATATCCCCGCTATAAACACTGCCGCCGGCCAACACTCCGATATGGCATCCGGTTTCGATATGAACTACACCCCCCCTTCTCCCCTCCCAGCTGCTAGTAGGCAGTCCCTTCCAACCAGGAACTCCCTCGGCTTTTGCTTCACCCCAATTTGCCAATTTCGGTGGCTTCCCACAGGCCAATGGCAACGGACACGCCCAAAACAACCAGAACCATATCCAGAGCCCAACGCAAGGAATGCAGAACCACGGTTTGTATGGAATGATGTCACCTGATGGCATGGGTGGCTCCCAAATGATGGGCCCTCAATCGCCGATTAATGGTCTCGGGGTATGGGCAATGCGGCTCTGGGGAGCCCCCAAGCTTCCGTGGCCCCGGGCATGCTGTCAGGGACCAGCCGTACCGTGTATCTTGGAAACATCCCGGCTGAAACATCTGCCGAGGAGATTTTAAACCATGTGCGTAGCGGCCAAATTGAGTCGGTGCGTCTGCTCCCTGATAAGAACTGCGCCTTCATCTCCTTTTTGGATAGCAGCTCTGCCACTCATTTCCATTCCGATGCCATCTTGAAGAAGTTGGCCATCAAGGGAAATGATATCAAGATCGGCTGGGGTAAGCCCTCACAGGTCCCCACCTCAGTCGCCCTGGCGGTTCAGCAGTCGGGTGCGTCGCGTAACGTTTACCTTGGAAATTTGCCCGAGGAGACATCCGAGGATGATCTGCGGGAGGATCTGGGCAAATTTGGGCCAATTGATACCGTCAAGATCGTTAAGGAGAAGGCGATTGGATTCGTCCATTTCCTGTCAATCAGTAATGCCATGAAAGCGGTCACCCAGCTCCCCCAGGAGCAGCAATGGCAAGCACCAAAGCGGGTGTTCTACGGCAAGGACCGTTGTGCTTATGTGTCCAAGACTCAGCAGCAAAATGCTGCGCAGTTCCTTGGAATCGCACCTGGATATGCGCACGTGCTGAACACCGCGGATCGTGATCTGATTTCTAATGCGCTTGCGCAGCAGTCTGTTGCCGCGGCCGCCGTCGCAACAACAGCGGGCGGTGTTAACAATCTCGGCAACCGCACCATTTACCTTGGAAACATCCACCCTGAAACTACTATTGAAGAAATCTGCAATGTCGTCCGCGGAGGCTTGCTGCACCATGTTCGATATATCCCCGATAAGCACATTTGCTTCGTTACATTCATCGACCCCACCTCGGCCGCCTCCTTCTACGCCCTGAGCAATCTGCAGGGGCTGATGATCCACAACCGACGTCTGAAGATTGGATGGGGCAAACACTCCGGTCCTCTCCCGCCCGCCATCGCGTTAGCAGTCAGCGGCGGTGCATCACGCAATGTCTATATTGGTAACTTGGACGAGGCCTGGACAGAAGAACGCCTTCGCCAGGACTTCTCGGAGTACGGTGAGATCGAGTTGGTGAACACACTGCGCGAGAAGAGCTGCGCCTTTGTCAACTTCACGAACATTGCCAATGCCATCAAGGCTATCGAGGGGATGCGCAATCGGGAGGACTATAGGCGATTCAAGATCAACTTTGGCAAGGACCGCTGCGGAAACCCACCGCGTCAAGCCGGAAACACCCAGAACGGACAGCAGAACCGCAACGGAGCCGGCATAGAAGGCCAGTCGCCACCATCCGTTCTCAACGGATTCCCGCAGAACCTTAGCCAGTCTGGCTCCCAGTCCAGCCCAACTCGCCCTGCCCTTTCCCCGGCGTCAGGATCCACCGGCTCCCAAAATGGACAGCACCGGCACCCCCTGCAGAATGTGTCCTCTTCCTCAGGCGCTCTGAATGTCGGCTCGAGTAATCCCCTGACAATGTACCTGAACCAGATATCTGCTCATCAGGCACAGGATCAGGAGAACCATCTCAGCGACCCTATGGCGCTCTCTAGCCTGCAGACACAGTCCCAGCCACAGCAGTCCCTGTACAACGGCGTTAGCAACGGTGACATGTCAAATGGACACATGGACCCGCCTATGCACCAGCACAAGTCCTCCAACAGCTACCTGAGTGTGGCAAACGGACCGGGACACGGTCACCACGCAAGCACCAGCAGCCTTAGCGTGCCCCGTGCTTCGCACTCCCGGGCTGTCAGCTTGCCCTCGTTCTCCCAGGAGCCCTTCGGACCTGTCTCTGGCCAACCCGGCCACTCTCGCGCAGGTGCGGCCCATCAGCCTCAGAGCAGCTTCTCCAGTTTCTCTGCCCTCGGTGGACTGAACCACTCAGGATTTGGCCTGGCTATTCAAAACGAAAACTCGCTGCCCGGCTGGGCTGAAGAGGAGATTGGAGCCAAATAATTCTCTGCACATGCTCCGAAGGATGCAACCTTGGACTCGTTGTCCTTGGTGAACCTAATGCCACATTATTCTCTGTTCTTACATATAGTCCCTTCTTGATTGTCATGTCTTTCCTCCCCCCATTTTGATCTGGTTCGTTTTTTGTATTGGTCATAATCTCTTCTTTTTTCTCACTTTGGACTCTTTGCCATTCACTTCCACCCTTGTCTTTTCTTTACTTTTGGCTTTTTTTGGATTTCCCCCTTTCTTCGTCCGGACATATTCCGTTCGCAATGATTTTCTATTCCCCTATTAATCCTTTTCATGCCATCTTCCCTTCTTTACTACCTTGTATTGCTAGCTGGCCTTGAGTCTCTTCCTTCTTTTTATCTTTGACTTTTTCTATCATTTTATTTTGTTTTGGGGCTGTGAGTACGCCGCATGTTTCACTGGATGATGACCATGGAGAGGGACGAGTCGTGGCGGCGATGATCGCATTGCATAGCGAATACTTTGGACTTTGGTCCTATTGGCTTTTTAATTGCTAGCAGAAAAAATGGCCATCTACCCACCGAACTTGAAACACTAGTTAGAAATGTAAATGATCATCTATAATAGAAATCAGCAGATTTTGAAAATCAGGAGAATGCACTAAGTGACATGTTATACGGAAAACTTGTTTTATAGGCTACTTTCTCTGCGTGGCTCTATAGTCTATGGCTAATTATTACAGAGATAACAAT